AAAAAAAGAAAGGCGTACAAATTGATCTACTGATTTAAATTTACTTATATGTATAAGACACGTCACACGATCATAACTTTATTATATTAATTTTGATTCCAAAAGTATTGTACCACGAAAAAATTGCATATAAAGAAATTTTTTAAAAAGCCACAAATTAAGTAATACTCAAATTTAAATATATTAAAAATCCCGATTACAGGCTTTAAATTGGTTTAAAATTTTAGCTTTATAGTCACATAATTATTTAGGTATCACGATCTAAAAATTAAAAATGAAGTGGTACAATAATTATGGAAGTCACTGTATATTTAGAAATATTTGATGTTTTATATTACTAGAGAAATTATTCATTTTTTGGAAGGATTTTTTATTTTTTCAATAATGAGTACGAAAAAATTGTTTAATTTTATTATATAATTTGTTATTTTTAATGTAACATTTATTTTGTGTTTTAATATTACTTATTTTTATTTTTTTCAAGTGTTATTTAAATATTTTTTTTAATTGATCCGACAAATCACCTGATCACACTAATTCGAAAACGGCGATAAATTAAATCTAATTGTGATAAAAAAAAAGACGAAAGAAATTTTCTAGGTAAATTTTAACTCATATATCGTGTTGTTTATGTATTGTATTAAATTATATTCTTGCTACAGTGTAGACTCGAAATTTAAATCGAACAGTTTTGATAAATAAAATAATGATTATTTGATTATTTATCAAGATAAACGAAAAGCAATTACAACAACAGACTAGGGAAAGTGTTAGAAACTAACAGAAGTTAATAATTTTCTCTGCTTAGGTTCTGTAGTATTTTCAATATCGTTTGGTCCACTATATAACAATTGAATAAATTTGATCATAACATTTGGTAAAATAATATTTGAAATTATAATATTACCCTTAGTTACTAAAATGAAGGTTTACTATATAAAATTATATTAGTTAATAATAATTTCGATGCAAATGATTGTTTTCATTTGGTAAATTATTTAAATTTTGAAGATTTGAAGTTATTTTGAAATATTTAATTTATGTTCTCGTTTACGTCAGTAACATCTTTTTATTTAAAAAAGAATTGCTCTAATTATGTATTAGAAACAATAAATTAATGCTTGTTGTCGTAAATGCTATGAAACATTTCTAAGATTTCATTATGTTCATAAATACTTCTAGAGCTTTCTGAATCGGTATCAGCACAGAGGGATAACGTTACAGGGTTCATTCCAAAGGAGAAATCGATCAGGATATTTTTCAGCCAAATCTATTTCGATATGACATCAACATCACTTATGATTCAAGGATAATTAATATTGGTAATGAAAGCAGAAGAATTGGTAAAATTAAATCCGACACTAATTACTATAAATGTAAAAAAATCATTTAATAATGTGAATTACAACATTATTGAAGTGATATCTCCCACTAATCCTATCAAATTAATCATTTATCGGTTAATCTTAACAAAGAAGTAAAATCTATTTCTTGTATTATTTCTTGCCAATAATGCAGACCCTTGATATTTAATCAAGCCCAGTAGAAGTAAAATATTTGATGAATAAGTAATATGTCCAAGTCGTTCGATACGCATCATCAGAATTTCATTAATAACATGTGAACCATCAGGATATTCTTCAAGTGTATAATATGATGTGGTCTAATCCTCGTTATAGGTTGGAACCAGTTAATTTTTAACCGGTTAAAATAGATGAGAATTTTATGATTGCAAAAACGTTGTCTAACCCAAATTTATAATATGGCCTAAGTTAATTTTAACCGGTAAATTAGCCAGTTAACGAATCTTTTAACCGGTTTAACCGGTTAAAGAATATTTTGCCGGTTCCAAACTCAAATCATCGTTCTAATTGCCGTCAGCATCTTGCTATAAAGAGGAACTTTCAAAGTTTGAAATAAAATTAAAGGTATGAAGAATAATTTTATTATCAAAGTTTATAAAAATCGGTTTAATGAAAAAGTAAAGTCAATTTACAAATATTATGCAGCGTGACATACAAAACTCATAATCCTGTATTACATATACACTTTGGTAGCAAAGAGAGAAGCAAGGATTCAGATTCGCTGATAATTTTAGATTATTTTTAAAGATGTATTTAAGAAAAGAGTAATAAATACAGTTTCCAGGAATATAGAAATTATAATGTATTCTCAAATAAAATTTCAATTCTACTTTTTTTTTTTATAATTTTTTTTATTTAAAATTTTATTAATTTCTTTTAAAAAAAATAAGTAAATTATTTGATAAAATCGTAAAATTGTGCGCGCTAATGAAAATTTCTCAACTTAATAAATTACAAATGAAATAAAATAAAAATTATCTTTAATTAACAAATAAATAAAATAAAATAAAATCTTTATCAAATAAAAGGTATAAAACAACTATTATTCACATATAAGTTGGATCCCTGAGTGCCAAAGCAGTTTTTTTTTAATTTAATTTTTTTTTTGTTCTTATAATTTTTAATTTACGCTTCAGAGACAACCAATTGAAAGATTTTCTTAATTTTTCAGACTTCGCGCTGTTTATGTTACTTTTTCGGGTTTGTTTTCGGGTTGATCACTTTATTTTATATTTTTATTTTTAGGCGAGTTGAAACGCGGGTTTAGCTTCATATTTCGTATTAGCTTTCTTCGGCAGTATTTATTCTTATGATCTTCTTGTACCGTAGCAATCGAAAAAATATTCCCGCCTTTTTGATTGAAGTATTATTGTTTTTTTTTTTTTAATTTATTTGTCTAATTCTATAAAAAAAAATTATATTATAAAGCAATGTTAATAGATTAATCAAACGAAAAATCACATGACTCTCTTGTCAAGTATGTGAATTCATTCCCAATTTAGTAATTTACATCTTCACTACTACAAAATAAATTTATTTTTAATATTAAAGTCAAATTATAGTTCTGAAATTATTAACGCCGTCAAACCAGAAGTAAGGTTCTACTTAATAAGATAAGTAATTGCGATGACAGACCGTCCCTATTTTTTCCGGATAACATGGCCTTGACATGATTTACCTTGTTTGAACTATTGTAAATTCAGCTTCACTGACTTTACACTCACTGTTTAACGGTGATGGTAAATGAGCAGGTCATTTGGCCATATTGAAATGTCTGGTCATTAAACTAAAATTATTTGACCTGAATACTCATGTGTTGATGAACAAATGATATCGTTCCACGGTGACGAATATAGAAATGCCACAAATGTATTTTGTGAAACTCGATTCTATAAACATTTGATAAATTAAGTTAAAACCTTAATATAATTTAAAACTTAATTATGTAAAACTGCAAAAAAATAATTTCAATATAACAAATTCGAGTACCGCATTTATGTTTGTCAAGGAATATAACGATTAAGGTTTCAAAACTATTTACGGATATGTAAAAACTGAGGTCAAGTAATTTCATTGTGTTTATGAAATTTATATGATCGACGAATTACATTGTTACAATAAGGTGATGTGCATTGTACAACTTTATGACAATTAAAAAGAAACTAGAAAAAAAAAATGAACTTTTTAATTTTTTTTAACGATGTCTAACAATAAAAAAGTAGATGAAGTTGGTGAGTATGAAGTTTAGCATATTTTAATAAGTAAGTATATCTGAAATTGAACCTGATATCCATAAATTTAATAATTATCAATACATAGAATCAGGTATAAGAGCAACAAAGTTTGTTATTGAGAGTAAACACGATTTTGATATTAGTTTTTAAATTATACTTTTTGAATATATATAGAACGTAAGTTATTTTTACTGATTATCAGTATTTAATTTACTTTTTATTATAATTTAAACTCAACTAATTTTTTTATTTAAATAAATAAATTTTATTAGCGAGTAAGTTATTATTATTGATTATCAATATTAAATTACACTTGTTACTGTAATTTAAAGTCAACTAAATTTTTTATTTAAAAAAATAAATTAATAATATAATAGATGGTAAGTTATTTTTATTGATTATCAGTATTTAATTATACTTGTTACTGTAATTTAAAGTCAACTAAATTTTTTATTTAAAAAATTCTATAGATTGTAAGTTATTTTTATTGATTATCAGTATTTAATTACACTTGTTATTGTAATTTAAAGTCAACTAAATTTTTTATTTAAAAAAATAAATTAATAATATAATAGATAGTAAGATATTTTTATTGATTATCAGTATTTAATTATATAGTTATACCTCAATATAATGAAGTTACCGATCTAGCTGATCAGGACTTTGTTATAAAAATCTTCGTTAATGCTATAACGAATTATGCAGATTGTATATCAAATAATTTGTTATAACGTTAATGAATTATTCGTTATAGTAAATGATTACTGATTTCATTACACAAATATAATTTTACTATTTTCAGAAATATTTTCACGTTATTAATCGTTAATGACAGTTTTATTAATTTACTTAAGAGTAAGGTCTTTTATATATAATTGGTAATAATTGATAACTGACTCAGTGATCGATATGTGTAATATTATAAAAATAGTAATAAATTAGTATCACCTGATCACAATTTATATTAGCTAATCATATGTTAATAAGTTTAGTATTTATTTCAAAAACTGTTGCCAAATCATAGAAGTAATAATATTTTCTGCATTTTCGCAAATTCTTACAATTTTACAACTATGAATCAATACTGAAGATTCAGAATGAACTCTTTGAAGATCAATAACTTGAATAATAATTTTTTATCAATTAAAGAATCCAGTAAATAAAGACACATTTTTTTGGACGTAATCTTATTTGAAAATGATTTGAGGGATATTCTGATACTTGTATAAGTTTTTTTAGTTATATTATTATTCTTATTTCCATAAAATACATCCACTATATCATCACGAGTTATGTAATGTATGTTATTACTTTGAATTGCCACATGTAATAATACTTTTACAATTCTAATAAGTCATAATGCCTCTGCTGTTATATTATAAAGATCTGGTTTATCTTTTTCTCATTCCTTACAATTATCGCAATTGTGACATTCTGAAATCATTGGATTATTAGGCCAAAGAAAAAAATGGTACGCTAATTGTTGATGGCATTTATATACTATTTCTGCAAATAATACCATTGTCATAACTTTTTCTTTTTTATCTATTATAGCATTTAGATTAGATGAATGTTGTAACGCTGTAAAACTAGAAAGACTAATAAAATAGATTAGTAAATATTATAATATTATAAATATTATGTTAATATTTACCTTTCTTGCCTATTACTCAAAATTGTTAATAATGTACGGATATCACTTTGTGAATAAAATAATATTGCTCTAGATTGTTGTTCAGATCGTCTAGCCTGATTAATTTCTTATACATATCGATCATAAGACATTGGTAAAGTTGTATGAATTATTACCTATACCAAAAGCTAAAGTTATGAACATTATCTTGATAATTTTATTCTTCCAATTTGCAGATATAATAGATTGTTCTTTACTTGTAAGTTTTCATGCTTCCAATTTGCAGATATAATAGATTGTTCTTTACTTGTAAGTTTTCATGATATATTCCAATAATAGCTGGGTCAAAATTTTTTTGAAGTTTTTTTATTATATCATTACACTCTATAACTGTAACCTCATAAATAATTGTGCGTCCTTCAAGATTATCTAATAAATCAAATATAATTTGATAAAGTTTATTTTTTGCGATTAGTTTAGGTTTAATTTCTAATGTAATTTCTGGATGATGAATAATTGAAGTTCTAATAACTTTCATATTAGGCCTTTCTAAAATTGATTGTATAATTTCTACATCAACAGGCAAACATATTGCAGTTAAAGCTAAAACAGAAACCATCGAAAAGTCATATTTTAAAGTTCTCAATTTTTTTTATGCGTCGCTATTAGAAATTTATAAATTACAATTTTGTTTTTTTAATTTCTTATAATTTTGTTACTTACTGAAATCCTTTATAAAAAACTATGTAATATGCTTCATCTATAACAAACTGGAGGCCTCGACTATTATAAACCTTTTGTAACATAATATGAAATTGAAAATTTTCTATATATTTTTCTGAGATAACAAATAATATGCGACATAATCCACTTGCAATTTTGACAAAAATTTTTTCTTGTATTAGAGGTAAGTGTTCTAAAAAAGCATATAACATTTCTGCCAGTATTCCCATTTCTACTATTTCTCACTTTTTTAAATTTTTAAAAAAAAAATCAATAAAATAATCATATTTAATTTATTATTAAAAACAAATTATAACTTACTACTTGATCATCCATCAATGCTTTTTGAGGAGTAAATATTACAGTTAATCCCCATGATAGTATACTTATAACCGCATATATTAAACTCTTTTTCTCACCAGTCTTTAATATAGTTAATGTGTCTTGATTAGATAAAAAAGGTAATATACTTTCACGTTACTTTTCATGATATCTTTCAAATCCAAAAAATTCAGTGATAATACTGTCTATTATACTATCTTTCAAAATTGATTCAGAAGTTGATTGTTCATGATATTGCGTGTTTGGTATATAGTCAGACAAGTTATGTTTTTTTAAATAACCACATAATGTGCATAATCCATTGACATATTTTTTTTGAAAAGATCGATAAGCTATACATTTAAGAGATGATGATTTGAATGCAGCTACTAACAGAGCAAAAGATGGTTCAAATTTATTTTCAATAAGCTCTTCTTGAATTCGCAAACCATATGGAAACAAATCCTATATAATTTAATAAAAATTTAGAATTAAAATATAACTATTATACAAATTATAATAAATAATACCTGAGAGAAATCAAAACTTTCTAATCGTTTTTTTTGATCAATAATTTTTTCAACCCATTTTTTATTATGCGTTTTAATTGCCATTAGATTATTTTTTCTTTTTTGCTCTTTTTGTTTCCAAATTTTAAATAGGTTTTTTTCATCCTGATCAGAAAAACTTGCTAAATTACCTGCTATACGAACTTTACGTTGAAGCTCTATAAAACCATTATTATTATGAATAATTAAAAGTACATGACAAGCTCGAAAAGACTTAGGATAATCAATTTTTTTTTCTGTATAATTTAATTTCAAATGATTAAATACTTCATTATAACTGGTACGTATTGTCATTATTAAGCTTTGATTCTCTTTAAATTTTGTTGTTTTTTTAAGAAATTCTAATAGTCGCATACATTGATTATCATCTGTACTAACTAAATTAGGAGTTGGTAAGCTCAAATCAGGATTATTTACAATCTAACAAACTTTTGGCTAACATTTTGTATGATTTCTTCGCAAATAACAAATTACACCCTTAATATGCATCTATGCTAATTCCTTGTCAGTTGGAGTTGAAATTTCTGAATTATTAGCTCTGACAGAAGCCGCATAAACACATTTTGTGTAATATTTCATAATTAGTTATTCAAGATATTTTCAATTACAATCTGATGCTATTAACATTAAATAAATAAATTATATTAATTACATATAATAAACAATTCTAAATTAAATACTTTAATAACTACCTATCTTTGATCACACAATTTTTACTTTATATTTTAAGTCTGCAAATATTTGGTTAACTACATTTAACAAAGCCAAAGTTTTATTTGTAGAAAGGTTTCCATCAACACCAACATTTAATTTGATATTATATTTTTCTAGTATTGTTGAAATCTTTTCAATTATGGCAATTAATATAGCATGTTTCATTTATTGTGAGCTACTATTATAATTACCCTCTTGAATAGTAACATGTTTTCCATCTTTAGTTTCATATTTGCATTTTTTTCAACTACATAATAAGCTAGAACTAGATTATGCCTATAACCTAAACCTGATATTGAATTTAAAATAAAATATTATCTTTATTATTATATAATAGCATTTTATACATTCAATTTTTTTTTTTTGAAAAAATATATATATATATATATAATAAATTATCATAAACTAACTATTAAATATGTAGCCAACCTTCTAATTCTCCATTAAAGATAATTTCTCCACTAGTCTGTGAAGCTTCACGTACATAGTTCTATGTACAATCGAATGATACTTCTAATATGTCTTGACCATCACTTTGAAGTTTTTCACATGCTGCCACTAAAGCATCTTCAGCACTAATATTTGCTACTTAATATAAACTTGAGAAAAATTCTTCTTATTTATCAAAATATTGCTGATGTCAATTTTGTCTTGTAATTCCTAATAATGCTAACATAGATCGCAATTCTTCTGTATTAACGCCTCCAACTAAATCAGCACCTGCTAGGAATTTAGAGAAATCATCTCCTGACCTTTCATTATAATATTCTGACTCATCAGAACATAGCATACATTTCTTAGTAACGCAAATTTTTAATCCAATAGTTCTGATTTTAGTTTTGTAGTTTGAAGGATTTATATCATGACAAGTGACACATAGTTGATTTAAAATTAATTCTAAAAAGATATTAGTACTAACAAGAATGGTAGAACCTAACCATTCTTTTTGAATAAGTTTTTGAATTTTTGACTCTGATTTATCATCATTTTCATCGTTTTTATCATTTTCTTCTTCACTAAAAATAGAATAAAATTTTTTATATTAGAATATACATCAAGTTCAAGAATGATAAAAGTTTATAAATCAAAACAAACCTTAGAAAATCAGATTCATTCTCTTTTTGAATTTTTAGTCTATGAACGGTATCTAGTGATCGATGTAGGCATTTTTTAGTTACTTTTAATTCATTCTTCATTCCACGAACTCAGTTTTGCGATTTCATTAATTTCATACTTAAAGCTTGTACTATCTCATTTGATCCTTGCCATCCGTCAGCTACAATAGATAATCCCTCTCTGATAATTCCTTTATTGTGAGTATTCTCAAAATATAAATCCTCTTGCAATTCTTTAACCTTTCATTTTGCTTGTTTAAGAATATTATTATGCTGACAATCAGTACGAAATAATGTTCTTTCTAATTAAAAGAAGCTTGAAATATGTTGTGAAATAAACCCTCTAAGCTATTGTACATTTTCTTTACAAGTTAACCCTAATAAAAATGGTACTGATATTATTCTGAAGTATTTAATATGTGAAGTATTTTTAATATGCAATCATAAACTAGATAGATTATCAGACATCGTGTGCCATTGTTGTACATTTGTAAAAGTATAATCATTTGCAAAATCATTCCATTTGTACAAAATGGTATTTTCTTTATTATACTACTCTAAATCTAATCTAAAATATGTTTCCCCTAATTTTGTATAAACATGATAACCAGAAATTAAAGGTACAAAAACTTTATTATTAAAATCATTTTCTATTCCAGCCAATTTAAGTAGTAAATAAATATTATTTGTGTTATTCATATTAGTTTTATTAGAAAGAGTTGAATGTTGTGGTAGAATTCGTAAAAAATTAGAATCCTTCTGAATAAAAATAGTTCGACTGAGTCTAGAATACTTGTGACATTCATTATTTGCTTCTAAAAGATACTTGGTCCACTTATTATTATTCTATTATAAAATAATATATAACTATTAGTAATCTAAAAATAGAATATAGCATATTCACATAGAAAAGTAAGAGTGCATATTTTAACCTTCAAAATTAAAGTCTTATAATTATATCATGATATAAATAAAGTTGTAAAGTGTTAAGCTGAGCTGCTTATCTCTGAGTTTGGCAGAGTAAAAGTATAAATTGAGCTAGTTAGGTAAGATAATAAGCACTTTGAGGGTGTAATGAGCATCCTACAGCTAAACTTCTTCTTTATTAAAACTTTATAAAAAACAAATGGAAACTGAAATATGTAACTTGTAAAAGCGAAAAAGACCACTAAAAAAATTTTTTTTTTTTAAAGCAAATTAATTTATTGGTTATTAACTTAGCCTTATCATGATTTTTTTTAATTATATAAATTGACTTGAACAATAATCAGCATATATGTAATATATGTGTAACTATTAATCAAAAGGCCTTACCCTTAAATATTTTTTTTAAAAAATTTATTTTTTTAAAATAAATAAAAATAAAATAAAAAATAAAATAAAAATAAAAATAAAATGAAGAGAAAACTAAACGAGATGAAAAAATGAAATTAAGAAATTGAAATAAAACTATAAAATGAAATTAAGTGAACAAGACGAGACGAAAAAATTAAATTAAATAAATGAAAAGAAATTATAAAACAAAATTAGGAAAATGAAATGAAATGAAAAAAATAAAATTAAACAAATGAAAAGAAAATATAAAATGAAATTAGAAAAATGAAACGAAATGAAAAAATGAAATTAGGAAAATGAAACGAAACAGGAAAATGAAACAAAATGAAAAAATGAAAAAGAAAAAATTAAATTAAACATACGATACGAAAAGAAAAAATGAACGATACGAAAAAAACACGAAATTAAATGAACGATAAGAAAAAAACCTGAAATTTTTATTGCCTTGCAGGCCTTTGCCTTGTGTTTCATATTTGCCTCATAGTAGGCAAATTACGATTTCTCCTACGAATGTGCCTCAATTCTAAAAAAGTAAATATATTTAATATAAATCTAAAAAATCATTTAAACATTTTTAATTATTACCTAGCCTATCCTAAAATTGAGTTCTGAAGAGGTCGTATAATCTTTCCATAATATAGGTTCACCTCCCACCTCTTCTCGCTTTATTCAATAATCGCAAAAATCCTAAAAGATATTAATTATACTGTTAAGTTATATTTATCATTATATTATTATTCATTTA